GGGGGGGGGGGGGGGGGGGGGCTGGGGGGCTCAAGGGGGGGGGGGGGGGGGGGGGTTAGAATCATGTGCAATAATGTGTCACGCACACCTTTGTCGTGTACTTTCTCTTAACGCACAATTTTTTGTGTTTAATGCAAAAAAAAAAAAAAGGCGGCTGGTCAGCTTTTTCTTGTTTTCGGGTATTTATATTTGAATGTTCAGTTAATGAGGCCGCAATATCGAAACCTCCATCAGCACAAACTACACTAAATCGGAACATGTAGCACATCATAACCGACGCACACCGCAGTCGAAGGAGAAGCATGGTAGATCCTGCTGTACCACTTTACCTTTCCCTTTTCGATCTGCAGCCACTGAGTGCGGTCCGACCCGTGCGTAGACAAGAACTCGGAAATGGCCTTCCTGTCCAGGTAGTGCAGGCCGTAGAGGGGGTGGAAGGCGTCGATCTCCTCCTTGCCCTTGGCGGTTGGGGTCGTCGACACCAGCGCGTACCGCCGGTACGTCGCACGGCACCTGGGGGTCGATTTAGTAGATAGTATGCATCCAAGCGCGCAAAAAAACAAGGGGGGGGGGGTGCGCATGTGTCGGTTGGTGTAGTAAGTTGGATATTTCGGTGATGCATACACCGATTTCGAAATGCGGCACCGTTGCTGCTGCTGCTGCTGCCGCTGCTGCCGCTGCTGCTCCACAAGGCGACGCCTTGACGCTTGACGGCCTTGTGGTGGACGTTTCAAACAGCCTCGGTCGTCGAAGCTTGTGGGTTAGGGTTAGGGTTAGGCGGAGCATGTGCGACACCGACTGTCAAAATAGATGTTTTGTGATGTTTCATCAACAGCGCGAGAGGAGAGAGCTGTTTCATTGCTGACGTCCCGCTGCTCCCGTGTACTTCCAACGCTGTTCCTCTGTCAGAGAGCCGGGCCGGCACTCTGATTCACCGTCGTGGTTGTGTCTATGTGGGACCCCGTGCTGGTGGATAGTGGGTGTATGCCATGTGCCAGACGTTCTGTGTGCGTCTCTCGTCTCATCAACTTTTACTTCTTTTTTTTTTTCCACGCACCGATATACATATATTGTGTGCCAAAACCTGAAAAATATACAATTACCCAAAACAAAAACAAGCAACACCCCAAACCCAATACAGTTTTTCTCCAATTCAAATCCCCAGCCATTTTGATACTGCGTCCCCAGACCCGAAAAAAAGCATTCCAAAACACACGCTACTATTTACATGTAGGCATGTTCATGTTGTTCGAGGTCGTCATCAGACGAGAATCAATAGTAGTCTGACCCCGCGTCGGAAGTAAGCACTTCCTCGCAATGTTTGGGCTTCTTCGTCAAGATGAGGTCGTCTTCTGTCAGGAGATCCCGGTTGACCGTGCGTGCATGGGGCAAATATCGGCATCTTTTGCTATGCGCTAGAGAAAGGTGCTGACATGTGTACCCGTGCAATCACGGACATCCGCAATCTCCTGCTGGAAGACGCCTAATCTTGACCAAGAAGCCCCAATATTGCGAGGGGGTGCTTACCTCCGACGAGGGGTCAGACTACTCATAATACTATAAATGCCCATGTGAGAGGTGTAACAATACTATAAATGCCCATGTGAGAGGTGTAATAATACTATAAATGCCCATGTGAGAGGTATAATAATACTATAAATGCCCATGTGAGAGGTGTAACAATACTATAAATGCCCATGTGAGAGGTGTAACAATACACTATAAATACACATGTGAGAGGTGTGATAATACTATAAATGCCCATGTGAGAGGTATAACAATACACTATAAATACACATGTGAGAGGTGTGATAATACTATAAATAACCATGTGAGAGGTGTGGGTACGAGGGACAGCTGGTCCGCTGTAGATACTTCACGAGGGTTCAGAGCGTGCAAACGACTGGTACTGTATGTAGAGAACAGAGATTTCCAAGGACCCACAATTATCAACACATGTCATCACAAACACAGAACTCGCTCCCGTTTTGGTCCCGTTTTGGTCCCGTTTTGAAGAGCTATGGTGGTGGTTTTGAAGAGCTATATGGTGGTGGAATTGCACGAGCCGAGGTTTTAGCTTGCCAGACAGTTACTTCTGAACGAGGTGTAATGCCTAATTAAAGGCATCACAGGGTACATGTAGCGGGGTTCAATTGGCCGACTCGACTCGACTCGACTTGATGACGCGGGTCCAGCGACTCTGACTCTATCTCATCTGTTGCACCAACCAGAAGGTACATCTCCGACAGTCGTCTGACGTCACAAACTAGCTTGGTCTGGAGACGGGTGTTGAGGGTACCATATGAAGCGCCAGATGTGTTTATTCCAGACGAAAATATTGCCTGCCACCGAGCCAGAGAAATCTAGCAATCAAACGTGGGCTGGTCGTTATGCCTTTTCTTGCTGGTGGATAACGGTCTAATCTTGAGGCCTAAGAGCAGTTCATCAGGACACTGATTTTCGCTGTAGGATAGCCTAACACCCCACACGAATCGAAAAAAGTCTCCAAAAAGTTCATTGCCCCACAACAATTGTTGCTGTTCATACTATTAATAAACAATGTTCCGATCCGATCTCTGTTCAGCATTGTACCTTCATCTGTCCTTTGCTGATGTACCACTTTACGCGGTCGATTTCCGTGCTCACAGGCTAACTTACCCTAAAAAAAGGTATACCAAAATAACATGGACCCGGAGCATACCAATGTTTGTATTCAACGCAAAAAACTGCAGCACATGTCAGCACATGTCATGTTAGTCACTCACTTGGCCTTTACCCTAGGCTCCAAAGCGATCTCTCTCGCCAAAATGTGCCGCACGCCCTGAAGGATAGACTCGCTCGACGAAAACAGGGGCGTATCCTCCGCCCCCTTCATGTCAGACGCCACCAGCTCCACGGCTTCGGGTGGGGTAGGCACCGGGAAGTACCGCTGGGAAATCCCTGTTGATATGTTCGCGAAGGGGGTCCACAGATGGGAATTGGGGGGGGGGGGTGCAACGTTAATTGTTAGACGCCCCCAGCCTCAACGGAAGCCGGCAGACATGCGGTAGGCGAAAAAAGCCATGTCATCGCACGAACAGCGGCAGCAGCACCAAAACTTAAGGGTGACAACATCCAATAAACGCATAAAAACACAAACACCGATTGGGGGTCGGGAAAATATTGTGTAGAAAGGCAACAGAAAGCTATAAACACACAATGTCTAACGACCTCTCACGCAGAGCATTTCCCATCCTGCAGAGAGAGAGGAAACAGAAAGCTACACGCATAATGTGCAAAAGCGACCTTTCAAAACCCAGAGCATTGTCCCCTCCTGCAAAGAGAGAGAGAGACAACAAAAAGCTACACAAACCCAGGCATAACGTGAGGCTATACCGTAATACTACAGCATTGTAGCAGCTTACCCGTGACCACCTCCCCAAGCTGCGCGGCCGTGATGGAAAACTTGTTGGCGAGTCCCCTAAGGCCCGCCTGCCTGGCGGCGCGGTAGAGGTTGTCGTCCGCTCGCCCCGCCCTCCTAGGACGCCGCCTGTCGCCGTTGCCGTTTCCGGTGGCGTTGCGAAGCTTCTCGTCCGTCTCTCCTGGGGAGGCAGCGGCAGGGTTAACTTACATTACAAACTTACACTACAAAAGGGACTACTGCCTATGCCAAGAAAGTATTGTAGAAGTAAGAAAAAATACTAATAGCCAGGGGGCACGCAGACCTTAAGCCTGGCTTAGCCTATTCTATACTTTATCCAGTATGTTTGCTGATGGGGAAAACACTTGCAAAGATAACTGTAATATAGGAGATTCTAAGCGAACGGATGCGCAAGAGGGGATGGTACTCATGTTTTGCATGCCTTAGCGGTTAGACCCTTGACCACGCGTCCTCGAGAGGACGGAGCGTTGTTCCTTCCCGCATGACCGATCGTTCTTTCCTACTTCGCCAAAGGTGGTTCAAAAACGTTTCCCCTATCCTTCGAAGCGGGGAGGAGATTGATATACCATGAACAAGGTTTCTTGAGGCAAGGGCAACAAATAACAATAACAGCTATGCCATGCTATCAGAGTCCGCTTACCCATGAGGCTGACGAGAGCGAGGTAGTCTTGCATGTCCTTCAGCTCCACCTCCTCCTGGCTGTTGATCATGTACGAGTACTGGTCCGACGGGAACAAGGAGGCTGCAACGCCAACAACAACAACAACAACAACATAGCAGACGTCAAGAGGGCAGCAGCACGGTCGACTTCTTGCTGTTATCGTTATCGGTGCTGCGGTCATCGTCAAACATTGCAAAAAAATCAGAAACACAAATAAGTAGCCACGATTCCAAACAACAAACTCACCACTCACGGAATAAACTGCAACACAACATCCCTTGTATTGCAGTATTATTTACTGCTGTAATTGCGTGCATGAATATCTACTCGCTTGGCATCGCCATCAATAGCAAGTGGTTGATGGCGTCGTCACTACGTCTAGAAGAGTGGTGCTATCAAGAAACAATTGCTATTGTTGCTATTGTTGTTAGACCACCTGATACGGGAGGCAGATCTGTCGCCACGTGGCGGTAAAATGCAACACTACACTACGCGGCGAGGGAAGGTCTCCCACGTACCGAGACCAAAAAACAACAATCAAGCATCGAGCTAGGAGGAAACGTGAACATCACCCTTAAAAAAATGCTGTCTGGTGACAGAGAGAGAGAGAGACAAAACTTGGCATCCTGGTGACGCAATCTCATTGTTATATTGTGATGACGTCATCGTGATGACATGGTCGTGGTTCGTTCTCTTGCCTTCCTCTTCCATGGCACTGCGGGCCTCGTCCCGCCTCGCCTGGCGCTCCTTAGCCGCCGCGTCCTTCCTCTCCTGCCTCCTCGCTTCTCGTGCCGCATTCCGCTCCTGCTCCTCGCTCTCTTCCACCGCATGCTCGCCCTTGAGCCCTGCCAGAACAACAACACACAACAAAATAAAACGCCCAAGACAGGCACCATTCCGTCACGCTCTGTGCCTCAAGTGACTCTAGGACCCTATGCATATATTAATCACAACGCGCAGAAAACACACGGAAGCACGACCCACGATCCCACCCTAAAAACACATACGGTAAGAAAAAGCGGGCTCAAAATGTCACAAGATAACAGACTTCGCTGGCCTTAACAATACACACACACACCCCATCTACCATACACCACCGTCACCGTATCCTACGCCACGATAGCCACCGGCGGTGTCAGAGCTATGCTATGCTATGTAGCATTGTTGGTCGCAGCCTTTCGGCGTCGCCCAAGACTCCCGCCCCGCAGACAAGACAAGCGTACCCGCCCACCCATCCATCATCATTAGGGTACGACTCTTCTCTTCTCTTCTCTTCTCGAGGCAAAAGTCGAAGGCAAGCACGCAGGAGGGTTGGTTAGATAACCTTGCCTAAGGGAGAGAACCCTTTAGTGTATGTAGCCACGGATACAATGTACAAACTCCTACCCGCCAGAAATGCTCTCTTTCTCTTCTCTGTTGTCTGTGCGTGTCTGACCGCTGATGAAAAGCGACAAAAAAAAAACTCGACACCCACCTATGACGTGAGACCTAGCGTGGTTAACCGCATCCTTCGCATCCTCCAGCGCTTTCGCCAAGCTCTCCTCCGTCGCACGCTCCCAGTCTCCCTCGCCAACCTCCTCCTCTTCCTCCTCTTCCCCATCGTCCCCCTTCCTCTCCTCCGCACCCGCCTTTTTGGCAGCCTGTGCAGCGGAGAGCCGGGTGTTGTTGACCCTCTCCACTCCTTGCGCCGACTCGTCTTCGGCTTGGGTGAGCGCAGCCTCGGCCTTTTCGAGCGCTAGCTGGGATCTCCTCATCCTAATAAATCAAACGATCCAGGACAAGGGATGGGAAAAGGGTTAGACGCTTGTTGGAATCGCCAGCCTCGGAATGAAACATTCAGGGCAGGGGTTGGGGCAACGGTTAGTGCTTAGTGGGGATCCCTTTCCTTATCCTTGTAATGGAACGATGAGGGGCAGGGGTTAGAGCAACGGTTAGCCCTTGCAGGGACCATATTTCCGAATCTTTGTAGTGAAGGGCGAAAACGCGGGGGATAGCGTCTGGCGGTACCCACAGCCTTGCAATGAACGATTGTGATTCAGGGTAGGGGCTAGGGTAAAGCGATGGCGCTAATAGCTTAATTTCATCAACCTTATGCTTACACGTCTATCGCAGTGAGGGGCAAAGAGAGGTGGGGGTTAGGAGAAATGTATGTGGTACAGTAAAACACCGCTGTTCTTCACGTGTGTTTTTGCTATCCTTGTAGTACTGTCCGCGCTACAATAACCAGCTCACCAATGTGAAAACGCGTCAGTGTCATCAAGTCTCATCATTGTGGCTAAGAGCGGAAAGCGCTTCGAAAGGCGCACTGCTGTGAAGGTAAAGCACATGATCAGGGGTCTCGTGGGGCGGGGGGGCACGTTATGTGGGTGCGTGCCAGACGTCTCCCAAAACACCCCTCTCGACTCTCTCAAGCTCTCTCTCTCTCTCAGTCTTCCTCCCCCGTCTTCATGTGTTGTACAAGTAGCACAGAAAGAAAGCCAGCGAAACAAGATGATAACTTCTGTGTGACCTTCCCCCGGCTGCTATGCATACGGAACGGAACGGTTGGTGCAAGGTAAGGACACAATACATATCATACCATACCATACCATTTGGTCCCAGACCACACGATGCAATTCACACAAGGTATTCAACCATACAGTACCTGGATTCCCTGTTCTCCTTCGATGTCTCCTCCTCGGCTAGCCTCTCGTCGCGAGCGTCGACCGTCTCACTCGCGTACCCCTGCACACACATCAGACCCACACAACCATCCAAAACAACGATCAACGTATGGTATCCAGCAGACGAACATGGACATGTTTAGCCTACGGCACCGTAGTATCCATGAACATAGAGACAGCAGGCCAACACGCTACACAGGTCCCACGGATCCAACAGATCCAAAACATGAAAATAGGTCCAACGGATATGTAGGCTCAATGGGTACAACAGACCCGTTGAATCATCAAAACGACAGGACACGCCATGTCCAGAAACGGACGGCGCTGAGCGACCGAAATAAATTTATAGACATTATGCGACGTTGGACAAAAGACAACTTAGTGGACGTGGGAGATCGATATCCTTGCCGTACGGCTCTTTCCGCGGGTACAAAGCTCTGCCCACCACACTACTAATAGTACATTTCTACACGCGTTGCTTGAGTATCATAGGGAGAAAAAATCACAGGTGGTGAGGGACCGTCGGAAAAGGTCTGTCTCGTTCTGTCCATGTGTCAACGATATTTTTCCGGGCCGGAAGACCAAGATCTAGCCGCTTTGCTATGCGCGTCTATATTCACATGTACCAGGTCTCTCATGTTTTGTCTTCATCTCATCTCACCGAATTATTTTCGTCGTCCGAATCCTCGTCACCATCCACAAGCTTCCACAAGGTCCTGCTAGCCTTAGCCACCTTGTCTCGACGGTTCCCCACCTAAAGAATTTAAGGGTAACGGTTAAGGTTGGCGTTGGGTTAGAAGAGTTATAAATAAGTTGGCACGATAACGACAACAATAGCAATCAGACCGACGGCAAGAAAACAGCAACAGAACAACGGAACCTATAACCGCCGAGGGTTCGCTGCATCGCCCTTGTCATTCAAAGCCACGCAAACTCGCCAAGGCAGAGCCTACGCCTAAGGTTAACCCTCGATATCGATTTCCTCCCTCACCGTGCACACGTCTCGTTACATCTCGCAGGTGTTCTGGGGTCCTACACACAACCCAAGCCCTTGACGTTGACGTTGATGAAACTCCAATCCTACCCTACGTCTAGCGAAAAACGGACGCTGTCACGATTCCTCCTGAATACTATAATACCTTGTCCCAAGTCTCGTCGAGGTCGTAAATCTTCCACAGGTGGTCGAGCGTGAGGTACGTGTTCATCTGTGGCGATGTCCAGAGGTAGTCCCTGACAAGTAACAACAACAAATCAATCAAAAATTAAAAGACAAGCTACGCCTAAAAAGGTCCACGTAGGGGTACAAGAATTAGCTTCGACGAAAGGAAGAAAAAGGCAGCAAACACACAAGTACACCAACACGTTCAGCAACACACAAAAACAAATGACTAACCCAGGGGCTAGAGTTCAGGGCAGAAATAGACACGTGACGAATCTACGACGACTAAAAGGTAGACTAGAGCCACGATCACTAGAGTAGTCAAGATCACTACACACATGTACTTCGGCATCCACCGCAGTTTCTGCAAAAAATCGCGAACGCAAAGCTGGGAAAGAGCATGTCTCGTGCCGGCGCGCAAATCCGGAAGGTATCATAGCAGCTGGGGAAGTGCAGATACAGCGGGCGAAATTGGTCCATCGAGTCTTCAATCTTCCCATCGCCACGAGAAAAAGAAAATATAGTGCAGAGAAAAAATGCTGCCACGCACAGGAGCACTTTCCGCTCTCCGCCTCCTTGAAGTTCATCAACCAATAGCAGTATCCAGAAGAGAGTCGCGGCTCATTCCTTTACAAAACCCAACAAAACAACAGCGACCCTTAAGATCCGGTCCCATGTCGTGGTCCCTTCCCTTCCCCTTCCCCTTTCCTTTCCCTCCCTTACCGGCGATAGTGCCACACGAAAGGCACCTCCTGGCTCTCCACCCCTAAGAACCTCAGGACGTGTTCGATCGCACTCTTAGCCATTTGTTCGTCCACTCCGAAGCCGAGGTCGAGCTGGTGGAAGATCCACTGGGCCTCGTCTTGCCGCTCAGCATCGCTGGAAAGAAAGAGGCAACGATTAAACAGAAACAAAACAAGATGGCACACACGAGGAGGCAAAACCAAATTCGCAACACACAGCGGCAGCAGCATGAGAGAGAGAAGCTATGCATACGGGCAGGGGCACTGACGGTCCTATTGCAACAAACCGTCTGATCATGTCTGGCCTGGTCATGTCATGGTCTTGGGCGGAATGAGCAAGGACGAGACAAACGCCCAAGCACGCAAGAGTCGGGTCGAAGTTACCATTGTGAGACAACCGGCGAACCAACCATGGACCAACAGATTCCATATGGAAAAACAACCAGCTCCCAACGCAAATATGAACGTGTGAAACGGTATGTAGACAGACACACAGACGAGCCGCTCGGCACAAGCTGCAGCCATGACCAACCACCACAAGACGAGGCTAACGCCGAACACAAAAACAATTTTCTTAACCTCGACCGCCTTCGCGTGGATGTTATTATTAAGCAAGTGAAGTAGACAGGGGGGTTCGTTTCCGTATCCCCCAACCCGTACCCCCTACCCCCTACCAAAACCATATTAATACCCTCGAAAAGGCTACTGCTTCACGCCTTGGGTTGAAGTCAAGACGTTCTCGGTGTTCTCAATGTCGATGTTCGTATCTCGATGTCCTCATCTCCATGTTCTCATCTCGATGTTCTTCTTATTCATGTCGACGTTCTTCTCATGTTGATCTTCTGTCCCTGCTCTCTCACCTAGCCTCTCCTCTGGACGGCATCCTGAGCTGCAGCCTCTCCGGCCGGTCCGTCTCCTGGATCATCTTGTCCCTGTCCGTCAAGAACTTCTCCTTCAGGAGGGACGGCTCGATGCCGGCGAGAGCCTGCCTACGGGCGTCCTTGCTAGCACGCTGCTTCCCATCGGCCTGGTTGTTACACAGATCAGATAAACATATCAGAGAAACAACGTTTTCCCAGACAATTGGCACCGCTGACATGCATAAGCCAAACATATGGCACACCGCAAGAGGTGAAGACTGGTGGATGGGGCGAACACACACCTGTCCCAACGCTACTGACATTGTTGATATGTGTTGCCACTCTGCCAATCCTTCCAAGGGCTACTTGTATCTATCGAAGGGCTTGTCTTCTTTCGGGAAGGAGGTGTGGCTTGGTACCAGTATTGGCTTTGCGCTTGCCTATGATACGACTGCCCTTCTCTTTGGTTGCGAGCTGCTTTTCCTGGTGGCCCCGACCTGAAAACCTATCAAGGCAAACATTTGCAACACCAATTTGCACCTTGAATCAGCCAATCAGCAACAGGCAACAGGCGTCACATGCCCCCGGCCGCTAGTAAAAAAATATCCTTTTGTTTCATTTTTCAATGCTCGTAGGAATGGCCTGTAATCGAGTCTACGGTAGCCGTCTAGGCTACTAATCGTACCACGGTGACGCCATGACGCCATGACGTGATCATCACCCGGTGACGGTGACTTGACTTGACTGACACTTACCTCGTCTTCGCCATCGACGTCCTTGAAGAGATCGAAGTCTTGGATGCCCTCTCCAAAGATCTCCATGGCCTCGTACACCTGATCCTGGCTGGCGCCCAACGGACCCCCTTGGAAGCTGAACAAACCCATATTCGAGGGGGGGGGGGGTTGTCGGAAACTTGTTCTTGTTCTGTGACGAAAAACATTTCGGTACGCTTGGGAAAAGATGTTGGTTTCTCTGCTGGAAATTCTTAAGCGAGAGTAAACTAACGCGCTGGTTGTTGTCGCTGCTTGCCCCAGCCATTGGATCGCCCATCGGCCTCACCCCCCTTTGTGCGGCTGTACGCCTCTACATGCGTCATCCATGATCCACGGCGCCCTTATTCTTCCAAGGGATTACCGTATATGACACAAGATAACACACCCCCTTGGCCGATTTTCAAAGCTCGATTTCTCAACAGCAGGAAGAGTCACAGCGCCGAAAACGGCGGCGTTGGAACCGTTTTGTCCAGAGCTGTTCGAAAACGTATTGGTTCATTTATGCATCCTCTT